ACCTGGATGGGTTTATTACATCTTTCAGCTGTTCCACAGCCAAATGACTTCAACTTTGCTGATATCCTTTCGCGACGGCAATGCCTGCTACTTCAAGGACTTCAAGATCCAAATGAGCGAAGAGAAAGCGCAGAAAAAATCCGTACTGAACATATTGATGCCATGAAACAAGCGCATCGTCAAACGGTTCCATTGTCCGACAATTTGATGTCGCTTATCTTCCTAGTTCAGTCCGACTTGAATGAGCAACAGAGAGAAAGGTTTGTAACCAGCATGTCCTTACGTCAAGTAAGCGTGAACAACTACACGTACTTAGCAGTCAAAGGCTTATTCCTTGATCTCTTTTGCGGAGCCGCCGCAGGAACTGCCGATCCTTCGATCCGCAGGGGCAAAGGAAGACCCGGCTTTAATAGCCGTAGGGGCAAAGGTGCAGGGGCGCACCATGCAGAGTACCCTGATAACTCCGGTTTCTATGGACAAGGCAAGAAAAGAAAGAAAGGTGGAAAGAAAGGTTTCAAGCAAAAAGATACATTCAAAGGCAGTGAAAAAACAAGCAACAAACATCAACAATCCAATGTTGCAACTCATGGGACTCATATGGATATCACACTGTCACAGACCAGTACTATCCCGAAGATGTGAAGATGTCTGGCAGGCAAATGAAGCCACTCACAGGAAAGTAGGGAGACCGTGTTGGGTGAGACCGCGTTCACCGTATGTGTTCACACATGATAAAGATGATGTGTTCATAATGTACTCTTGAACATTCTTGGGGCTCTCTTACTCACTCTTTACCTTCTCTTGACAACTCTTTACATCTCTTAACTACTTTTATCTTCTCTTAACTACTCTTGGCAGCTTTTAACTACTCTTACACCTATGAGATAAGACTTGGTTTCAAAAAAACACCAATTGTACAGATGTTGAGTCGGACTCTCACTTCAGTGCTGAGATATTCAAAGATTTTGCGTGGCTTGACTGACATGCTGATACCTGTCACGTGAAGAATTCTGCTCAAGATGGAAAATGCAGAAGTGAAAGAGTCGTACTGGCATCCAGAACGGGTGGTGGTGACGCGTTCTGGATGTCAGCTTCGGGTGTACGCAAGAAGTGATCGATGTGGCACAGATTGGCAAAGCCAATGGATAGCCACGGACATTTGGATTGCAATGTCGCCCAAGCTATCGCCAGAGAATTTTGCTGCACGTACTTCGAGCATTAGCAAGATCCAGGATGCACGTACTTAAGCTCAGTTAGTTTTGATTGCGTGTGATTCTATTTCAGTAAGCCTTATATTACAATGGTTGGCGGGCGGGTAGTACGGTAGGTAGGTCCTTAGGTATTATCACAATTTCCTGTGACCATGGAATCTTGTAGTTACACGACTCCCTGACCGACTGACTGTCACGCTGACTGTTCACCAGACTGACATGTCTGATTATCACTCGGCCGGCCCAGGTAACAAAATGAATGCTCGTGTCCATTCCTTTGAGGATACGCACCGGCAGATTTGGCCAGGAACTTGGCCACAGATACTAGCTCCAAAGAGGTCTTCGTATCAATCAACAGCGTCTTGGGATCAAAACAAGTTTTTAAACATGTTTAAGTCAATCACTGGCTTGGTTGCATTTGCCTGAGAGTTGTGTTGATAAAAAACTAACACTACTCAATTGAGGACATCTGCCAATTAGAACAAACACTGGGTGAATCTCACTCTGAGTGGGAGCTGGGAGCAGATCTTCCAATCCGTAAGGCGGTGAATCTCTAATCTATTATTAATTGCTGGTAACTGGCAAAAAGGACTAATATCATCATTATCTTTTATTGACCGCCTGGGGTATAGTATACTGACTCTGACTAAATTCTGGTCGACCTACAACACCACTGAGGACAAACCTGAAATCTTTGTGGAGAAGATGCTTCCAACATCTTTGGCAATATCGATGGTGACGTGGGGTCTGACCAAGGCCCGCGGGGGCATTGAACCCAGGACAAAATGCTTCACACTCATGGAAGACCTTTTCACAATGTGCAGTAACACTGGAGAGTTGTTCATCACAGTTCTGGCTGAAATGCACGTGGGAACTTTGGCTTGTTACCCCCAAAAAAGTGTTTCTATGTGTCTTTTGCTCACCAAAGAACATCACAGACAGATACGATTGTCAGAGTGTGTTAGTGTCACCTTCATAGAGACTGAGTCAGTGACTTTTTTTGCGCCTGACACTGGCCAAGGACAGCGGAACCTTGTGCAGATCCATCTACGGCCAAATCAGCGGTTTCCGCTCCATTGGCTGCTTAAGTATGACACCATGGAAGGAATGCTTCAAAAATGGCACACTGAAATCAATGATTCTTTGTCAAATTTAGGTCCACGAGTCCGACACTGAATCACTAACAAAGTAAAGTCTGAGATTGGAGTGATGGACGTCATCTGAACCCGACAGAGTCTATGTTTAATTACGGATGCTCGACTCAGGATACATCCAAGCCGTGGCTGACGTCAACACCACAAACTGCTTCAGTGGCTGAAGTGATTGCATTTGCTTTGGATCCGTCTTTTGACTGCAATCAGCCAGAGCGGATTCAGACCCGCGTTTCCCCAACGCCGGTCTGTTTGTCGGTCGGTCGAGTTGTGTAGGCAGTGAAGTGAAAAAAACACCGCTATATATTATATGGATCGACTGACTGACTCACTCGCCGTCGCCGCGCGCGCGTCTCTCAGGAAGCACCCACCACGCCAACCTGAATGGAAGGCACTCCGCTCCAAGGCATTGGATTTGGTTTCTCAACTAGCAGCTTTCATCGCCACTCAGACTGATGTTCCGAAGATTCACATTGATATCTACGCACATCTAATAATAGTGGACCGACACGACTTCAGAACTCATATCTACACACGTTGACACGACTCCCTGTCCCTGATTCAAATTCAAGTCCACCCACCCCAAAAAATAACATTCTCAATAGTTGACTTGAAACGGAATCTGAATCAGTCAGAAACTTGAGACTCATCCCCCAGTCAAACACTTCACTCATTTGCCCAGGACAGTCACGCAATGGCCCTATCATCCGCAACTGGACGTGCGCGCCGCACCAGACAGCGCATGACCATCAAAGACAAGTTCAATGTTGTGGAGGCGCTCCGGAATGGAAAGCGCCCGGCCTGATTAAGGTCATTGCCGTCGTTATGCCATAGTTTCCTTAATTTAGCAGGGAGTGAACTCTGAAGTAATAGAGGTGAAACTCAGAGATGAATGTTTTTGTTGACTATTCATCCATGAGACACTACTGTATTAAAATTGGAAACCTCACTGGCTGATTCAAACAAATGCTTCTGATTCCACACACCTGCCCTGACCTTGACCTTACATGACTCACTGCCTGAATCGTTCGCCTCAGGTATTTCACTATCTCACAGGCGCTCGCAGCCACCAAAGCAACAATGGGTCCGCGTGAAATTGCTCGATGGGAGATGGCCACTAGTCTCACTCATGTCACGATTGATTGTAAAGTTTAGAGAAATTTGTAATATAAACATGCGATATATAGTATAATACAGTACTATATAATACTTGGCTGACTAATGAATCCGAGGAGCTCTACCAGAAGAAGACTCGCAATACTTTCCAGGGCCTGCCGCATCTTCATGTCGCAGCCTCATTTCTCTGACTTGGGACAATGTGCCATAATGAGTGAGTCTGATTGGGTCGGTTGAGTCCGTTGGGACAAGATAATTATAACTATAGAGATATTTATTAAACTGTTTCTTTGATACCTGTCTGTCAGTCAGCAAAATTACCCAGGCCAGGACTTAAGATTAAGTAGGGTCTCAAAAGTGTAATTGTACTATTGACAAAGGCTTTGCGTGATTGATCAGTTCCAACTTTATGATTAATAATGCGTTGCCGTCATTGAGGTCGTATTCGACGGATCATCCATCGGCAAGGTTCCATTGGAATGCTACCACTGGTACAGTGACTTTGCTGTCGTTTTTGTGGCCGGTGAACTAACTCACTGCATCATGTTGATGTCTAAATCAATGACGGGCTTCCAATCCGATGATGATGATGATTATGATGAGGTCCATTGCTGCAGATTGGAGCATACTCACCTCCACTGGTTCCTTGGCTGGCGCGACGGGATCATGGGGGAGCAGTCTGTGTGGACTCGGGGTTGAAACGCGGAATGATGTCTGGATATGACTCACTGACGTCGAGTCGACGATGTGAAATTGATTCAAGCGTCGTGGGTGAGTGAACTGTTCTCACACAATAAAACACATCAATATAGTGGAATGGCATGTCATGATTGATTTATATTCTTTAGATGGTCGACAGTGACAGACAGAGACAGTTCATGTTTATTTATGTAGTATTGCCGTCACTGTTTGATCACGGCATCTCTAGTGTACGTCATCGCCATGGCAGAATCTCTTGATGTCGAGATGTCTTCTGATGGTATCTGGGCCGACTCGGACACTACTTCTTGTTTGTCAGAGCTGCCGTCAACGCAGTCATCCGCTCTGGGGGAGGCAGGACCTGGCACGAGCAACAAAAAACATGTATATATTTTTTTGTTTAATACTAATGTAATACTAATTTGATACTAGTGAGTGGCTAATTTATTAAATAATGAGCCTGTGATTGAATAGTAGTACGAGTCAATGAGTCTGGGTCTCTGCCAGGATCATGATTGGACTCCATTGCAAAAAGCGTCTGGGGGCATCTGTACTGCATGGAAAGTTACGCATGGTTTTGTTCCTGCACCTCATTTGGCAGATGCTTGCCCTTACCTTTGAAAATTGTTGATGTACCCCTCAAAATTGATTGAAACCGTTTACTTGTTTTGAACTGAATACATTTAGCATCATTTAGCCATAGTATATAGTATTCAAAAAAAAGTAAGTAATTAATCAAACATTAGAGACAGTGACTCAGGAATCTTGGCTGGCCCTGGGCAATAGCGCTACATCCTTCTGCACAGGGTGTGGCACAGCGGAGATGAGTAGGGCTGTTTTGGAGCGTGATGTGAATGAGTCAGGCAAAGTGCCATTCCATGTCAGCTTGCCTACAGCAGCAATGTGGGTGCCTTTCAACCATTAATATGTTTGTAAAGTATATTATATTTTTATTTGTGTGCATTTGTTTGAAAAAAACAATTGTATTATTGAATACTTACTTATTTTAACAATGTAACTAACTAACAATCACTAGCATAATACATAGAGTGAACACTGTCAGATTGACTGAGGATCATGAACCAAAGTGCCAAGCTTTGATGCGTGAAGCAATGGTGTGGTGCCAGCAAGTCACAGGGCACGACCCGAAGCACTCGTGCATGTTTGGCGATATTTTGGAGATGCTGCCGGGCTCATTGGCAGAATATTCCACATATGAGTCAAAGCTTGCAATGACAAAGTCATGGTCATTGAAGCGTTCCTGCAAGTGCATGTCGCATGGGGCCTTTTGCAGTCCTTTCAAGCCGAGCTGTATCGATGTTTCGGGGCTACCGTGCCCCGACTTTTCAAGGGCAGGCTTGCAACGAGGGCGCCACGGCCCTACCATCCCAGTGTACATGACGCACGGGCGATGGGCAAAGGAGAGTCGAACGCCCTTGCTCCTAGTGGAGTGCACACCTGACTCACGGCTTGGCCTCCTGAATTGTTTTTCATTTTGTCAATTACATTATGTTCATTTGATTCAACTTTATTTATTTAGTAGTGACAATAATAATCTTTAATCTATTTACTATTTACTGGAATTGAGGATTTGGACATTGATATGCTTCAAGATTGCCATCCAGGGTACAGCTGGCACCAGATGTACTCAGAACCTGGAGATTTCGGGTTTTCAGCCACAGCCCGGAAAAGGACTTGGGTGATAGGATCCAACGACAACAGAAACATCTGCAGAGCAGATCCATATGAACTCTTGGATGAAATCAAGATTGCCATGAAGGATGTGCACGTGCGAGTGCGGGACTATCTCGTGGCCAGTGAAGCAGAGGTGCACATGGAAGCGCTTCGCGTTGCAAACCTGAAAAGAATGGACAATTTCCGTCCTGGCATTGACCCCATGTCATTATTGCTGAACCTGAGAGAAGTTCAGACAATGTCAGAGCTCAACCAAAAGTACCACTCAAGGACCGGCTTCCCAGCAAAGACTGACAGGGACCTAGCTTACTTTCTTGGAGATAGTGCAACCTATTGTTCATGGAGCGCAGCAAGTGGCAAGCTGCCCACATACCGCCTGACGCAAGGGCGGTTTTGGCTTCCAGCCGTACAACGGTGGCTGACGTCCAAGGAAAGATTATGCTCGATGGGCTACCCAGTAGTGAAAGAAATGAGCCTCGGCATGGGGCAGGTGCCTTTGGTAGGGGCCGTGGACCCTGAGAAAGCAGCTGAGCGGCTTGGCAACGCCATGCACTTCACCACTTCCGGCATTTTTCAATGCATAGCTCTATCATGTTTTGGCCCACAATAGGCAAGCATGATCCCGACCCCTAGTACAGTTGCAGCCACCGCCTAATGCAAAGATAGTATTACAGTTGCAGCCACCGCCTGAATGCAAGGCATTGTAGCAGAGTAGATGATGCAAATGACTCTGACTGTCCGACTCGTTGGAAAACAGTTGTTTTTTATTAAGCGTTATATGTCAGATTCGAAAAACTCTAGTATAGATCTTCAGAACTTCAGGGACTATAAACTTTAAAGTAGTCCAACTGCTGCAATTACACATAAATGATTCGATCACGACTCCTGTCACAGTCACTGATATCACCACTTGACCACTGTGTTTTATGGTGTGGCTAGCTAATCAATCAAGTAAGCCAGTCCATGTGTTTTTTTCGTTGAAACGATCACCACTCTGCCAGTGTCAGCGACTGACTGCAGCATTTGGGGCATCTGTGCGAAGTGGGCTTGCTTGACTCCAGTGTGGACCGACGGATTGTCAGGCCATGACAACTCCTATTACGACCTTGTTGGATGGAGGTGTCCCAATCACATCCGGTGCAGACACATCGCATGATGATGATTCTAAGAGCACAGGCAATTCCTCCAGATCTCGCCCCAAAGCTAAGACTGCAGCGGGGAAGACTCGGGCTCGGAAAGGTGCTGCAACAGTGCTGTCGTCTTCGTTCACTTGTTGGGCCAAGACACCTGTGCCTGTGGATGTTAACTTAGCAATGCTTCAATTGTTTCAGTATTCTATTGTATGATTTTGTTTTAAATATTTGTTTGTATTTATTTATTTATTTTTTTGGGTTCAAACCCTTATTATTTAAGTTAAGGACAGTCACCTCCTGGACATCATGGAGGCATGCGAACCAACCAAGTGCAAGAGAGAATTGACAAATGGCATCAAGTCGGAGCTGGTACGGCTGGCATTCTATGGAATGTTCAGGACGCCAATGTTCTCACCTTTGGAAACGTGACTGGGCATTATCTTATGTTTTTGTTCTTGGTTCATTTTAGCTATATATATATATATTAATAATAACTGTACTGTACTGGTTACTGCTTATTAAAGGTTGACAAATATTTGTTTTGTCAGTCAGTCAGTCAGTCAGTCAGGTTCCACAAGAGTGACTTGATTGACCACATGAAGAACCGCTACATTGAATGTGGCAAGACGTTGAGCACGTGTTCTTTGATGGACCTGATCAGAAAAGTCGAGATCGAGATGTCCAAGAACCAGCAGTTTGACCTGCTCTCATTGAGCTACTTAGCAACATTGAAAGTTTTAATACTATTCATTTCATCTTGAAGAGTCTAAGAATCAGAAGCTGTTAAACATTACACACCAACTTCGGGCCATCTTTGACAGTGGGGAATACATTGAATCTTGTTATGTTGATTTGACAAGTTCTGAATAATTAGACTCAGACACAGTCAAACCTCAATTGAAGATTCCAACAGTGACTCTGACGGTGGCGGGTCCAGGGTGACCAGTCAGTCATCATAATCATAAGGTTCTGGTGAGTGGAAGATCCAGTGCAAGGGCTTTGTCAAGGACTTGGGCAAGCCAGCGCCTGGACATGACTGGGAGATCCGCAAGAATGCCCAGGGAATCCCACTGGTCACGGACACAGTCACTACCAAATGGTGCATATCATTCTTTCAGGAGGCGCAGGCAAATACTACTCCTCAAGCACCAGTGCCTGCGGCTCTGCCAGACTTGAATGTCACAACCACAGACATTGCAGAGGCAGGGAAGGAAGATGGTGCACGGACTGGGCTTCCGGGTGTCACTTCATCCGGTGCAGTGGAAGAATTAGATTTGTATTCTTTTTGTTTGGAGCCGGGGGTCAGCTTTGGATTCAATAAGAAATTACTATATTTAACAGCTGTGAACTTTTATCATTGACAATTGACTTGAGGCGGAGCGGATACTGAACTGACAGCCGTTTGCTACTGCGACAAGACTCGAGGGACATGCCCTGACTGCAAGAAGGGGTTCAATGAGGAGGTGGCAGCCAACCGAGAGCCTCGCAAGATCAATATCAAGCAAGTGCGGCTCGACTCTGACCCTCCTCTGAAGATGTCGCAATCAGGCGGGGCAGATCAAAATATGTTTTATTCACTACACGCAGCAGTGACAGTGACATGGCTGCACACAGACACACTCAAAATCACAGACATTAAAATCATCAGACTATTAATTGTGTTTGCTTATTTTGTATTATATTATTTGTGGTGGACGCAATGACTAATAATAATGATGTATTGGCACTGGCGAGGCGCAACCCCGGCACGCCAACCACTGAATGCGATCACTGAAGAGCCGATGACAAAGCGTGTGCCTGTCTGCGCATGTGGTGAGACACGCGCTAGCTGTGACCAATGTCACAAGGGATACCTGGATGAAACATTGGCTGGCAGGGAGCCGCAATTCAAAACTGTGGAGATTCCTACAAAGCGTGTGCCTGTTTGTGAGTGTGGCGAGCCCAGGGCTGAGTGTGCTACGTGTGGCAAGGGATATGTTCAACGGACTCTACGCGGTGAAGTCCCCAAGTTCAAAACCGTTCCCGCAGATTCCACAGTGGTTGCTTCAAAGGCACCAGGACAGACTTCATCGTCGTTTGTCATCGTCGTTTGTACTTAAAACCATATTTCAGAAAGATGCACCTGAATAATAGACATAAACATACTGACAAATATTGTTTAGTATTATATTGTACGGGGTCAAAAACTTAGCGTATTACGTACTTACTTGCACTCAACGCATTAGGAGAGAATCTGAATCAGACCTCGCCTTCCTCTGGAGTGAACACTACATCAGCGCCGGCCGACACTGCCTTTGGAGCGAACAAGACAGTGCCGGGCGCGACTGATTTGAATGATGATGATAAGAAGCGGAGTGCACCAGAGACAGGACAGTTGACTAAAAAGAGGTGTCTATATTGTGGTTTACCTTTGAGTTCTTCTGAAACATATTTTATTTTAAAATTTAGTCACCAAAGCTATTGTGATATGTTAGGCCGAGTCGTGAGTGACGAGTTGATTCATTAGCCAAGCTGACTCTGACCAGGACTGACTGAATCTGAATCTGCTGCAAAATCAGCGCGTGTGGAGCCCGCGCCTGCAGCAGCAGCAACCTCATCTGGACCAGGACAAGGCAGACACATTTACTAAACACTATCTGGAAAACCAATTGTTAGTTCATTGATGGTTGATCAATACCGAAAAACATTGGCGTTGGCAATGGTGTGTGATGTTGGGTTAGTCACTGTTAGTGTTGACACGTTTGTGCTACTGACTGTTGTGTTGTAGTGTTTGCCAAGATTTCCATTAAATTTTTTTGCTTCCTTTGCGTGCCAGGCGCAGCCGAGCCGAAGAAGAGTGAAGCCACTGCCAAGGCGAAGGCGGCAGGAGCTCCACCACCGATGTTCAGGCAGAGCAAGAAGACCTGAGCATTGTGGGCTGCAGTACTCCAGTCATTGTCACTGGAATAGTTTTGTTTGTATTGCTGGATGGTCTCTCCAGGATTCAGGATTTCAGTCCATCATTGATTTAGTAATATTCATGAAACATTGTCCGCTCTTAAAGACACGAGTCATCATGAGTGGGTGAGAATTCCAGTACTTGGGCCCAGAGGGAACCCTGTTCATATACATATGAGTTCAAAAGAGTCTCCAAGAGTAGATTAGAGTGGGAATGAGCTGGGAGTAGCTAATCACAAGCAGAATGAGGGGGATACCGCGTTCCCCATGAGCACACGAGGAGCTCATGAGTAGGTCATGAGGGCTCAAGAGGACTAGTATCCCTGCCATACCCACATGTGTGTGTGTGTATAAATAATCTTGTGAACAGTGTACCCGCAAGGTCTAAATCCAGGTTCGCTTAGCCGGTGTGCGCTCGAAGACCTGCTGAGTCAGAATCACAGTGGAAGAAACCCTCTGACTCCCCCAGTCTGTCAGCTAAGGTCAATTCCTATTGCTAATACCAACCAATCAATCAAATGACCAAACCAGTACATTGTGAACAACCAGTTGGACAATGTTCCAAATTTTGCAGTCCATTGCCATCTGTACTGTATTGATACACTGTTGGGAATCTAAACCAAGTTAAAGCAAACCCTGCGCGTGATTCAATCCCCAAATCATATTCTAACAAACATGCAGAGTCTTAGAAAAAATGATGCTTTGAATTCAGTGGTTCACCACAATTCCACCAAAAACGTGTGAGCAGTGGGAAGATTGTCCAGCAGGCCGCGTTTGACCGGGCAAGAAGATCTATGACTTTCTGCCTTTTTGACAACTTTTCTAATACTTAGTCAGGCGTCACTGACAGTCTGGTTCATTAGTGTAAAACGTGAAATAATTGTTGTTCAGGTGTTGATTCACTCGACCCGTCACTGCCGCTGGCAGACATACAGCGTTTGTTGTACCATGTCGGAACCACGCTAGTCATTAGGTCAATTAGCCGGTCGCTGGCCCAATCTAACAGGAGTCAGAGGATCTGATTGTCAGAGAATTCTGACACTGAATGCCCTGAATGTTTTGTCAGTATATTATCATGAATGAAACTTGACTTCCAAACATCATTAATAACAAACTGCACCCATTGTTGCTTAGTCACGTTCCTGGTTTGGTTGTTAGAATCTATCAAATCATTCTTTTGTTACAAAAGGGCATCAGCTCTCTCACTCACCTGCACCTTGCTGGCCAATTTGCGCCAAAGCATCTGAAGTGTCCAAAACAATCATTCCTCGGCATGGTCAATGACGATGATTGACAAGATGATGTTTGTTGTTGTTTGTTTGAATAGAACCACTCATGGATTTTCTGCTCTACAGTACAGTGACCTAATAAACTTAATGTTCCTAGTCAGTCACTGACAGAGTTGTAAGTCGTATGTGCCAATCACGAGTCTGGCTATTGATGTGCAACTGAAGTCAACCAAAGTAAATTGTTCTTTTCAGTCAGTTGTTGCACTGTACTTGACATTGAAGGACTGATTGAGCTAATCCTCAACTTGACTGAACCGAAGTGTTTTCCCCCAAAGTTGTGAAAGAATTTCAGCAGGATTAATAGCTGAAGGTGATTCCTAAATGGCGAGTGGCAATGACACACCAATGGCGGCGTCAAGCTTTGACTACGGATCCTACTTGGACAACTTAGACAATGAGCCTGATGCGCAGCACGACGGTCGTCGTCGCCGACCACCACAAACATATTGGCCTCCTAGGCCGGAGTGGAACTTCCCACTTGACCCAGAGAATGTGATGAACCGGGAGGTGAGCCTTGACTCATATGCCAAAAAGAATCGTGGTACATTGCGCCACTTCTTCAATCACTACCCTGTGAAAAAGGATGTCTATCCCCCTATGGTTCACGGGCAGCCGGAAGGTGTGGTACCCAAGACCCCTTCACCATCCATTCCGACAAAATCGAAGTTGAAGTTGAAGGACAACATGGTTCCCAAGACACCTTCTCCGTCTCAACGTTCCAACAAGAAGGACAAGAAGTTCAGCCCAAACCCTTCACCGGGTTCAGTGGGTTCAGATTCAATGAGTGTGTCAGCAGATGGGTCACTTGGGCGTTCACTCTATCAGGGTGGGGGCCGCACGCACAACCCAGAAGGGCTTCCGTTCTTGCATGATGATGGTATGGCGCCTGATGATGACAATGACGTGTTCATCAGCAGCCAAACCAGCACAAGGATGGGTATCAGCCCTCCCTCCGCCACTAAAAGCCCTTCGCCAAAGACAAGCTCAGTGGCTGACACGATCCGCCGCAAGCGCACCTTTCACGAAGGGCCAGGACAAGCATCAGAACCAGTGGCAGTGGCAGCTGATGATGGCAATGGTAAGCGCAATTCCAATGCCAGCCGTTCCTCAACCACCAGTGCATCCAGTGGCCATCACAATGTGACGGTGGAGTGCAAGTTTTCGTTCAACATAAATACCAGAAATGAGTAGATAGCTGCTGCCATCTGCGCAGAATCGGGAGGTGAGATGGGCCAAATGGTATCCAAATACAACAATCATCATCACCAAGTAGTTTGTATTTGTTTATGTTCTTTTACATTGGTTGACTCTACACTTGAACTTGACTCGACACGTTTCAATTCATTTTGTGATGGGTGGCCCAACTCCCTTATGACCGCAATTTGTGGGGATCCCCTTCCGCTCAGACTCACGACTGTCCAGCAATAGTCAGTTAGATCATCTTTGCGGGCATCAGTCCAGAAAAAATAATGTTGCTAGTACAGCCATGCAACTTGTGACACTGCGACTGACGTGGTTCCAATTTTATGCCTATTCCAGCACCGGCCAACAAGAGATTATTATGATTATGGAAGCTCACTGCTCCTTGACACTACTATGTTGCAATAATGTTTTTTGTTTGGTAGGCGGTGTCTGGAACCAATAATAATTATACCAATGACCTCACAAAACAACCATCAAAATCACATGGTTGAAAAGGCATTGGAAAGGCCACACTGGCCCAATGAAGACGATGGAGTTGGACTGCACTGACTGTCCAAGATGCTGAGAGATCAGAAATGCAATCGTCAACGGCACGCGCGGCCTGACCGGGCAGCACTAGGGGGTGAGGGAGGGCGATGTAGTTTCCAATTGTGTTCTAAAGATAATAATTTTTGTTCTTGAAAGTAAGGTATTTAATTTACTTGGCCACGTTCACACTCCTGAGAATCTGAGAACCGAACGTTCTGTTTAGAATCAGAATTCGTTTCACCTCAGACTCACTTTGACCGACTCTGCCACTCACAACTCGACTGAGACTCTACCTGCAAAAGCGTGCCTCAAATCCGAGCTGACCAAACCGAATCTTGTCAACGCAGCTTGAGTATAGAGGCATGAGTCCTTGGTGGGGCAAATCTGGCTGTCAAAGTGAGCCGTAGTTGAAAATACAAGACTTGTTCAGATTTGACAGTGTGATTGACTGATGGAGGTCCTGTATATCATCTAGTGGATCAAAATGAGATTCTTATGACAGTGACTCAACAAACTGAGCTTGTTTGAATCTAGGATTGTTCAGGCTATGATGTTCGTACTAGTGGAATTGACTCGCCTGCAGTTGAAGCTCTGAGGAACTTGGGAAACCGCCACAATCTGGACCCGTGTGAATACTTGCCCCTCAAAACGCGCAAAACACTTGGAGGGATGCTGGTCCCTCGGCAGCACTGACTCAGTGACTCACTAAAAGAGTCAGCTGTTTGACCACGGATGCGTGACTTATGAATGACAGGTGTTCATTGCGGGGGTGCAGTTCTGATCTGCTGTTTGGGTTGTAAGTAATGATTCAAGTCGTAGTAATTTAAAATACTAGTCATATATGAGACGACAAGGCACTGCCTGCAGCAACAAATAATATGCTGGCTGTAGTGTGTCGGTCACTGATGATTGTTTTGATGTCGAGTCGACTCGAATCGAGTTCAATGAAACAATATCCAAATTATATCAATAGTAACAGTGACAGTGACGTGACGTGAGTAGGGAGAGGCTAAGCTGATTCACTCACTATTAATATTATTGTTCTGTGTCTACATCGTTTTGCCGGTTGTTCAGGCAACCGAGGTTTCTGTTCGTGATCGATGCGATTACTGATTGCTCAGGCACTAGCCCAGGGGTTGGACATGTCTATGATGGATACGTGGGGCATTGGTTTGCTTTCACTGAGACTTGGCTGAGCAATCACACTTCGAATCAATCAATGAATCCATGTCGTCGATGACTGACCAGTCACCGGGCGGCGGCCCGCGGCCGGAGACCGCCTGGACTGTGATACATTACAATATAAATTAGATCTAATTAATGTCTTCAATAAAATAAACATTTGTCGGTATAGTCAGTCTGTCAGTGACAGTCAGAGCTGTGACATAATGACCTTAACTTAAACTCAACCAACAATGGACAACTGTTGAATAGGTGCACAGGTAATCAAGCAGTAGTATGCCGGCCGGTAGCTAGTCCAACTTGGCAAGCCGAGCAGCTAGTTCCAAGGCGTCCTGCCAAGAAGTTGCTGCCTGGGGAGCCGCTCGACGACGTTCGCATGCTCAGCCCCTCTGCGATGGATGAAAGGCCAATGTTGACAGTGGCTACTTGGCAGTGAATGACAATCCGCTGCAAACTGAACTGCCAATCCCACAAATCGGGCAAGGTGAAGTCCACACATCCAGAATCAGGTTTATTTATTGAGAACAACTATAATTGAATCGAACAGACTCAGGACATGATTGCATACATGGGGGATGGAACGTTCAATGTAATGTTCAGTCATTGAGTCATTGTCCCTTCAAACTATTATTGTGACAAGCTGCATCCGCCCAGGTCGCAGATGAAGACAATCTGCCATTCAAGCTGCTGCATACCCTCAATTATGCTGGCTTCCGAGTTCTGATAACGCCAGAGTCAACGCATAGCATGTGGAATGACTGCAAGAACTCGATCAGACGTGCGTGTTATCAGCATACTTTGCTTCTATCCTCTACGCTCTCCAACGCAGCCCATGGGCCATATGGGTCCGGCAGGAACCAGCAAAGCATACAAGAGGCTGCTTCTAGCCTATCAAAATCTCTGTCGACTGAGGAGTTTGAGGAGTTGGTTGACGCTATGCTTAGGGACCGCAACCTACATGAGACTGACGACTATGACATCCCTGGAATTCCGACAGAGCCTGCTGACATCCCAGAACTGGACTGCGTCCGACGATTGCCCGTCTATGCCCCCAAACAGAACCATATGGTTTAATATTTATTTTTCTAATCTATATAGTCCTTTTATTTTTGCAGCTCACCACCTGCCAGCATTGTTAGTTTATATGAGCTGCCGAGGTGAAAACCAAATCATGGTTTGCCAGTGTGGCAGTATTACACTACATATGCGACAATTGGTCATTGATGGGGGCTGTGTTGGACCATGCCCTTTCTACTGATGATGGAGTTTCCTGACAATTCTATTGAATTGTTTTTCATTACTATGTATGCATTTTGTATGGCAATTTTCTGGCCCATTCATTTAGACACTGTAGCACTGGGCTGCCTGGCTCGTCTTTGTTACAACTTACGTCAATCACATTTATACATGATCCCGCCAGGTTGACGGACCATGGAGAGACGCAGCTACCCACCAGCAATCCGACAGCGACGTCCAGAGCCAAGCCGCCAGTGAAGATGCAGACGCTGAAAATGCAGATCCTGCTGGTGATGGTGGTGGTATGGGCAACCGCCCCCAGAACAAGAAAGACTTTGAGAAGTTGCGTGCCCAATTTCAAAACACTATGTACCTTTGTGGGCATCTCTACAAAGACACGTCTTTGCGGGATGACATGCGCATGGTTGCGTGTGCAGTGGATCCATACATAGACGAATACTCTGCCGCTTTGCAATGCCAAAAATCATCACAGGAACCATGTCTACATAAAATGGCCATGTGGCTGGTCAATCAGTCAGTCACACGAATCAATCGAGTCGTCAGTCACATAAATGAAATTCATTTATTGTTGTTCGGTTGGTTTGTGTAATAGAGCTTTGTTCGTCTGCGTCTGCAATAATACTAGATTGGACGCGTCAGCCTTGGCCCTTGCAGGAGAACAATTGTCAATGGCAAGCCAGACGTAGTGGTGGTGAATGGTTTACAACCGTTCTGAAGTCCATCGCACAAATCCATGATGACTCTGTTGTGGGAAGGTTCATTAGCTGTGATGTGCCTAGAGGGCGTGAACGTTATACTGTGGATGAACCTTGGCTTCTGGAAGAGAAAACCAGGCTTCAAGATTTCTGGACATTGCTATCAGAGCTTGCAGCTGCTCGCTGCTGGAGCCAGATTTGGTATTCGATGTCCCTACCAAACCCTGGCGTCCTCCATGAAAATCGGGATTCCGCGCAGCTGCTGCTCAACTACCATCGCAAGATCTGGAATGCGGTCCTGACAGTTGAATCAGCAGTCAAGGGCCCGAAGCTGCCGAAAGCTGTCAGAAACATCTTGAAACAACGGTTGTTGGACATCTCATGCAATGGATCGCAACTGGCGCGTGAGTTGTTTTTGGAATACACCAGGCTCTCATGGGACGCCTCAAACAAAGAGCTCTTGCACATGACCCAACAGGTGTTTGGAGGGCCTTGTCAGACAAAGTATCATTTGGAAGATCTTTTTGCGCATTTGGCAAAAAGTCAGAAGGCGTCGCACCAGTCCACAACAATCAACAAGTTTCTCGTAGAGTTTAGTCAAACAAACATTTTCGTTGTGATATTGCAGTGATTTGAATTTAACTTAACCTCATCCGTCTAGTTTCGTGACTTAGAGGCCCAATTTTTTTAAACAATAATAATAAGTATCTAGATGCAATATAGCAACAGTAGCTGCCTAGTAGTCAACTAGACGTATTAGTATGTTGGCAGAACCCGAAAATTGTGTTTTACACTGAGGTGGACCCGCTTCCTTTACGCTACAACTTTACCTTCTCTGAGGGAAACTGGATGGAAGCAAGTGGTCACGAAATACGAGGATCATTGCGAAGAGAAAGGCCAACTCTCATCACAGATTTTGAAGGGGAAGACTTTCAAGACTAGTGACATCCCTTCTGAATTGAGGACACACATCAGTGACGCAGTGAAGCAGGGAAAGGACGATATCAAAAAAGCAGGTACTCTTTCCAACCAACGTGCAGCGGCTGCTACAGCGTGGGTCCTCCAGCATGAGAAGACCAATTTCTCTGCGGCCACCATGTCATGGACAGGCGTGACAAATCAAGTGTGATGCCGCCCCAAGAATCTAAGAAGATCAGTTTCTGAACTTCATGAATCTTAGTCAAGACTCGGGACCCGACTAAATTACGATTAATTGCTATGCTTTATTTGTTAAACTAACTAATCTAACTAACTCGGTCAGTGAGTCGTTTGGGTTCGAATCGACCCAAATCTGAAACAGGAATCTTCTTGATGAAGCACCATGTCTTTGTCAACACCAGCAATGACAATGTGCTGCTGTCCCTGGGGTTCAGGACGTGCGCTGCTCTTGGAATCAAGCTGGTGACACACAACTTTGACGGATCTGTGTCTTGGTTTTAATCTTGAAACTATGGGAACCCGATATCATTGAAATTTATCATATGTTTTGTTAATTCCACCAGGTCCAACCAGTGTCAGTGGTAACCAATAGTCTCAGAATTCTACTTTATTTGAAAACAACTTAACTTATATACTAATCAGTTAATCGATTGACTCACTACAAAACAAGGTGTACAGTGTACACTGTTACATCTGAGTGTTTGTTGTGACTCACTGGAATTCGCATCGATTCTGAGCCCGAAATCTTGCAGGAAATTGGTGTTTTGTCTCAAGCCTGTGTCAATTTGCAAGTGAGGTCTACTTGACTGTTGACAAGCATCCACCTTCAAACTATCCGAGATGGATGTTCAACCACGCGTTGCCTGCACTGGATGACCCCAGTGAACGTGGATGGATGCATTTGCCTGTTGAAATCCTACATCCGTATGAAATCCCTGATGGTTTGCGACTGAGTCACGGGGTGGTCATGGCAGTGACTGGGGAGCCCCAACCGTTGATTCCAGCTGCTGTCAAGGCCGGAATCTTCTTGACTCTGGACAATCTGAGGAGCTTATATGCCCGTTACAAGTTTAAGTTACCTGACTCCGGTCGGGGCAAGAACGGCGGCTACATCAAGAAGGATTGGGCCGAGGCTTTTGTTCAATTCCTTCACCCAAGCGCATCTGACTCAGAGAAAGCAGAGATGGTCCGTTCGATAGTTGGCCGTGATTGCAACCACCTTCGGAAATCCAAGGTGTCAGTTCACTGCGCTGATATCCTGCGGGCCTTTGATGGCCTTGACAAGACTGATCAGGCTGAATTTAGTGATTTGGTGGCAGTTGCAAAAGATGAGCAACTGCTGGCAGACAGAAGGGAACGCAATTCCAGAAAGGCACAGGCTCCAAAAGGAGACATACAGCACGTCACTCCCAAGCTTCTTCGAAATTTGTGTCCTCCAACTTCAGCGGTACGAATCAGCAGACACCCAGTGCTGAAAAGATATCAGTGTTTCTACACAGGAAAAGATGTGGAATCCGGTGACTAAAACAATTTGATTCAACACGTTTTGAATCATGTGAGTGTCCTAAACCAGTCAACTATTTGTCCTGATGAGTCTTGTTGTCAAACAGTTTTTATTGTTCCATAAGTGGTTCTGATGAATTAGACTAATTTCTTAAGTAGAGTGCGAAAGGTTGGTCAACTACTATCAGCTTAGGCGAGATGCGCACATGGTCGCACTCAACCTATTGGCATGGCAAGAAGAGGGCGCTCACTGAATACGCGGCCCTGAAGACAGTGATCGAGTGGGCATGGAAGGTGCATCGGACACTGTGCCCTGAGGAAACTGCTGCAGAGCACCTCGGTGGTTGTTTATTTGAATACGAATTCTGAAGGAATGAATTATGAATTGAAGTGAATGCGTCAATAATTTATAGGCCATGGCCAGGCATCTGACTGACCTGAATGCTCATTCGTTGAATTCTGAGGCCCACGGCTGATACTGTGCGCTCAGTGGTGAACGAATTCACATGTGACACTGGCTTTTTGAAGAGTTCTGATGCCGATGTCATGGGGACACCTTCCAAGAAGAGCGAGGCTCCCGTGACAGAAGCGGAATCTAAGGAGCAAGAACCTTCAATGAAGAAGGCAAAGACATCGAAAGAGCATTCAGAGTTGAAGATGCCAAAGGCATCAAAAGAAAAAAAGGACAAAACCAAGGAGGAAAAGATGCCGAAGGCATCAAAACCTTCTTCGAGCTCAAAAGTGGCCAAGAAGCACGTGAAGAAATGAATCGCGTGTGTTGAAAATAGTGACCAAGGCAGGGCACGGCAGACATGTATCTGCAGAAACCATGTTGGATGGGACTGCCTTCTCCTATATCAACTTTTATATACCTCTTATTGTAACAATGAAGGCGGTCCCATCCAACAGGGTATGCTAAGCTTCCTGTGAGCAACTTGGCAACAATAGACATATTATGCGGACGGACAGACGGACAGACCGCGAAACGCCAGAGCAGACTAGTTCAGAGCCAAGGCCTGACCAGAACAACCAGTCAACAGATATCCGACATTACAGACATCATGCAGTAGATTTGACTGGTGCAGGACATGTTTCACAGCAGTATCACCTGGACCCTGCCGGTAGTAGTGAAGACTACCGGCATTCCGGTACTTCTGAAACTGTTGATCCACGCTTTTGTTTTGTTGTCAACTTTGACGATGGATTTCACCATGCACTTCTTTGAGAATATGCGCACTGGAGGTACAGTCCAACCTGCGTGAATTTCGACAGTGGCTGTACCAGAGCGATGGGTTCGAGGACCGCCATTATGCGTCTAGTGAAGGCATGTAGACGTCGCAAGAACTCATACAGGATTGATGCTTCATTCGAAACTTTGTCAAGTCCATTCTCAATTGCAAACGGCGAGCAGTCCAACGTCCGTGAGAAGCTTGTGATCTATTTTCAGAATGACCAGGCACCCACTGGGTGGATCTCCACTGCAATTGACATTTTAGACCAAGGAGACGTGCCAATCCTATTCAGCGTCGAGCAACTTCGCAACCTCCGCATGTCCATTGAACATACTCCTGTCGGCGACTATCTAACTTGTCCACTGTTCGGCTTGAAACGCTTTTCGTTGCCAGTGAGCGCTTCAATCCATAATGTCTTAGACCTCATGATGTTTGCCAGCGCAGCCAGAAAGCCGAATCGCAGTTTCACAGTAGCGAGTCCTTCTTTTGCATCATGTCCAGCTTGCAATGGCAAGCGTCGCGCACATGCGTATAAGGATGGATGCAAGAAGGCAGATGTGTCTGATGTTAAGAAGGACAAGCCAGCAATCGAGGTGCCAATCGATCCAGTTGCACTTCTGACTTCTGAGAGCGCACGGACCGACATTCCGGTCTCTTGTTCAGAGTGACGGAACCCAGATTGGCGTTGAAGGCTTTACCTACTCCTCTTTTGCATGGCAACCAGTCATGTCTGGTAAGATTGATTTTCTAGAACTGTTCGCTGGTTCAGCACGGTTGACTCAAGTAGCTGCTGTGAATGGTTTACGAGTTGGCCAGCCTTTTGACCTTCGCACAGGCTTTGACATTTTAACCAATGACGGTCGTAAGAGGACGATGGAGATCTGCGAGAAACAGAAGCCTAAAGTTATTTTTACGGCGCCGCACTGTGCTCCCTGGAGTCAGATGACCAACACCCATGATCGCTATGCTAGAGACCAGCGTCGACAGAAGTTTCTTCCAATGTTAGAGTTTTGGTGTCGCATTGCCTTGAACACGGAGGTCATTTCATCATTGGGAATCCTGCTTCTTCACTTCTTCAGCACTGTGGTACACCAGATGTTTTCAACGTGTTTTGTCACGACGTGGTGTTACCTATGGCACTCTTGATATGTGTTCATTTGGAATGAAAGACCCTAACGGCTATTTCTACAATAAACCAACATCTCTTTTGCGCAATTTCGACGAAGACAATATGTCACCTGTATTCAAGAGATGCAGTGTTCAGCGCCAGGCTTTGGAAGCAGAACGAAGTTAGCTCAGCTTTATCCGTATCATTTCTGTTCCAAGCTTTTTCGCTGTTTTTTGCCGCTGGGAAGCCATCATGGATAATTTCACGCGCAGACTACCGTAGCTGTAGATTTTCTTGAAGGACTCGACATTCCGAGCCTGGAATCACTGCAGAGCTTCCTGATAGAAAACACGGATGGAGAATATGTTCACTTAAGTGAATCTGATAGTGTGACAGTCAAGGATGTTTATGTTCGACGTTTGATGAATCGTGTCAACTCACCCCCTAAGGGACATATAGTCCTTGGTCCGAGTCATTGCATATTGCGCATGATGTTTCACATGTGCGCCAGGTTTTTGCACCAACCATGGCATTTGAGCACGCCACAGTTGTGCGAGGTACCTGTGAACCGCTAAAGGTCAGGCACCGATATACCGCAGGTGTACTATTTTTATGGCGTAGGAAGGGTACAACTAAGCTGTACATTCAATCACATCCTTTTGGCGATTGAAGTTAGTGGAGTCAAACTGGATCTGTGTACTCTTTTGGAACTCTGATGGTAGTGTGCATTCCAAGCCCGTTACACTGCCTGTCATCACTGACACGGTTGGTGCTCCACCAGCACCACCTCCTGGTTGGGAACATGTCACAGTCTGACCACGACACGCCTGGAGACATTCCCGATGATCCGTTCACACCACCTCCAGGACCACAACCACCATCACAGTTTCCTCCTGCTATTGCAGCTCCTCCTGTTCCAGATTCCTTTTTACCTTTGACAGCAGTCCAGCCAGACACTCCTGTTGTCCCAACTTTGGTCGTTCCTCCTCACGTCCCTGACACCCACATGACATCACCTGAGAAACGACAACGTGGTTTTTCCTGTGTCTGAGCGCCCTTCGACGAAAGCTCGTCCTACTATGCCAGTGCCACAGATGCCTGACTCGCCTACACCTCCTCCGGTTCCACCGAGCAACCATCTCGGGGGTGATGATGAACTCGCATTTTTTCGCCGCCGGTCGTCTCGAACACGTCCAAGCCAAAGAAGAAACCTGATGTTGAACTTGAGGACGAAGACGAAGACGCGGGTGATCCTGATGCACAGCCGTCCGGACCATTCGCTGACGATGGTGATCAGCCAGTGTCACCGCAAGATGAGCATGTAACGTCCGACATTCCGGATGTTGTGAATGATGTGGAAGAAGAAGAGGAAGAGAGCGACGGTGATTCAGATGAGACCATTGACTATCGGACTATCGTGACCTGTTTGTGGACGAAGGTGGTAGTTGGAGTGGGCTGTCTGCCGAGCAGAAACTATGCAGCGACACTGGTTCGTTCACAGTCCCACGATACATTAATTGGTTTGCCTGTCGATCTCAAGTCTGTCCCGTCCTATGCTGACTTCGTGACGCCGTCTTCATACATTGCAGAGAAGAAGCGTCAGCTTATTCGTAAGAACTATGCTACCCAGCAGGAAAAGCGACAGTTTGCCAAGCAGTTCCTTGAAGCCAAAAAAGCCGTGCGTAAGTCATGGTTTGATAACGATGTCTTTGAGCTTGTTGACGTGCGTAAGTTGAAGATTAGGAACTTTGTCGCTGGCCGCTGGGTCCTTACGATTAAGAAGGATAAGGATGGTAATTTTCTCAAGTGTAGCTTAAGGGTTTCCAAGATCGACAGAAGGATACCCAGCAGACCGACAGCCCTGCGGCCAGTCGTTCTGGTTCTCGTTGCGCGACGCAATTTGCCGCGAACTGCCGTTGGGATCTGTACCACAGGACCTTAAGACGGCCTTTTTGCAGGGCGAAGCATATGATGAGACAAGAGACATCATATGCCAGATCCCAACTGAATGCGGATATCCACCACGCATAGGAGCTAAAATGAAGAAATCCGCATATGGCCTGAACGGCGCACCTCGTAGATGGTGGCAGCTTGTTGATAAAGCGCTCCTTAGTTACGGACTTGTTACACTTGTTCCTACACGGGCCGATCGATGCACATACATTTTGTATGGCAACAAGATGCTATCCAAGGATTCACCCAAGAACTCTCCGACATTCCGGAAATTTTCCACTTCGTCTGATCCAGTCCAAGAAGCCCTCGACATGTTGTTAGATCTTGTAGCGCAGAATAATGCACAAGGCCGAACGCCGCATGGCTTTATTTGTCTGTCTCCATGTTGATGACTTGGTCAACGTTGAGACTAGGAAACTGGCCTTTAAGAATGTGAGAATCCGCGAGATTGAGAAGATGCGCTCAGAAAAGCTTGACCGTCGTCAGCTCCATGGCGCGCAAAAGATTGCAGCTGAATGCTGGTTGAACTAGACTACCTTAGCACCAACACAGAATGGCGTGATCAGGAAACCAGCTTCGCTTGCCTCAAGAAAAAGTCTCTCTCCGAAACTACGGATGAAGACATTGATGAACAAGATCTTGACGATGATGAGGCGGACGATGATGGCATGGACGTCGATGCCGGCATTCCGGCCGACGATGATGAACAGCAAGTCATGAGTAGATGAT